CATCAAAAATATAATTTAATAAATAAAAATTTCTTTTTTTTTTCCTTTCCTTTTTTTTTTTCTCCTTCTCTTTCCTTTTCTCCTTCCCCTCCCTTACTGGGTTCGAGGAACCCAACACCAACGCTTGGGTTCCTCGAACCCAGGCGCGGGTTCCTCGAACCCAGGCGCTGGGTTCCGAACCTAGCGCCTGGGTTTGAGTCGAACCCGCCTGGGTTTTTTTGTTTTGTTTCTTTGTTGGCTTGCAGTCATGCTTGAATGGGATTTAGAGTTTTGTGTGGCTTTTGATTGCTTGAATTTTCAGATCTAGTTACTGTTGATGTTGATTGAAGGAATGTTGTGTTTTTTCCTTTTTTTTTTTGCAGATCTGGTATACATTTGTAGAGAAATTGATTTTTTGAATCAGATCTATTGTGCAAGGAACCAGATTTGAATTCTATTAGGGAGGAGATTTGGGGAAGAAGTAGATGGTGATTGGAGTGGTAATAGATGATCGGAGCAATGAGGGATGACCGGAGTAATGAGGGATGATCGGTGTTGATTGGGTTGCAAGATGAGGAGACATTTGAGGATAGAGAGAGACGAGAGGTGATGGAAGATGAAAATGGGGGTATTTAAGGAATTTTAAATTTTTTAATATATAAATTAATTAAAATGATGTGGACTAGTTATTTTCCACGTAATTAAAGATTTCAAACAATAATTGATTTTGTGGCAACTTAACGTACCATCTGGCACTTCCGTTGACGGAAGGATGAAATTGGTCCCAAAAATTGAAGTTCAAGAATTTTTTTAGTACTTTTTGAAGTTCGAGAGTAGTTTTAGTTCAAAAATGAAAGTTGAGGGACTGAATCGGGGATTTAACCTACCATCTAATATATTTACACAAATTACTCTGTTCCTAAAAAGTAAAAAGGTTTTGATTTGTTTTAATCAATTTACCAAGCTTTTCTTTTTAGGCTTCTATTTACTATTTTGTCTATTATGATTATTTTATTGTTTTATTTTTTAAAATTTTGGAATTTGGGTTCTTTACATATTAATTTGTAGGACTTTGATACTTGTATAAAAAGAAATAAAGTTCGTTTAATTTCATTCTCCTTTATCATTTTTTTTATTTATGTTTATATTTTTTCATTGTTATATTTTTTATTTTTTTACTAGTTTTAGAGTATTTTTTATTTATAATTTATAAGTTATTTTAATAATAAAAATTATGAATGTCAACAATTCATTTAACTAGAAATAAATTCTTTTATAATTTATAATTGTGCCTTGTCTAGTTTGAAATTCTAGCTAGGTCAGCAGCCCTGAGAAAGGTACACAAACGCAGCCACGCAGTGAGCACAAAGCGAACCATTCCCTGGCCTTTTACTAAAGAGAGCAGTGCTAGGGGCACTCGCTTATAGCACTCTCGGACCAACACTTCCCCTTTTATTGGGCCACGTAAGGTTCTTTAAAGCTTTCAGGAGAGTGGTACATAAAAAAAAGGCTTAATTCAAAAAATCATCTACTAACTTTCAGTTTAATTTCAGTTTAGTCTAGAAAGTTTGTTTCATTTTTAAATGATCTAGAAACTTTGAAAAATATTTCAAATTAGTCTACCGTACAAAGAGGAGTTAGATTGCCGTTAGATTTGAAGAAAGAGCAGTCCTTTGAGTTTTAAAAAAGTGACACTTAAATCCTAATAAAATATGATGAATCAAAAAATAGTTTATAGAGATAGATTGTAATTCAGACAGAAAAATTCAGTAAGTTCATAATAAAAAATTTTAAGAGTAAGTCTGTTTTACAGACTGTACAATCTATCTCACAAAATTATTTAAATATTCATATAAAAATAATATAAAAATAGAATTAAGGGTATTTAAATAATTTTACAGGGTGGACTGAAAGCAGTCTGCTCTGTAAAACAATTTTCTAAAAAACACATTTAGCAAAATAAGAATAAAAA